CACTTCACTTCCTCTGAACCAGTTAGGAGATTTAATGTTGATTTCGGTAAAATTTAAATCCTTACCATGTAACTCTTCTCTTTTTGGTGAAATTGATATATTCTGTTATGCCACTAGAGTGTTATGTGACATAATGGATGTGGTGAAGCACTTTGAGATGTTTGTATGGAAGATACTCTTAAAAGTATGAAATTGCATTGCAGTTTAAAAAAACCAAAAACCACTTAGCATGGTTGGAACCAAGTCATTCTTCTATTTCACCTTGTTTCTATTGTCATTAATAATTTCTTAGAAATTACCTCACATAGCTCCCTACTCCTTTTAACTGAGGATGAATTGTTGGTGTACAGGACTTGCAAAAAGGCTGATACAGGATTGCATTTGACCCCAAAGAGGTGGCCCAAAACTGAAACAGCTTGTCGTCCACATCAGCACTTGCTGAAGTCTCATTTGGAGTCAGACTGATATGTAGTGAGTATGAACTGTTAGAAAATAGCCTCCAGTAAAGTTGACAGATACATGTAGGTACCAGAAATGAAGTATTTGGGAAGTAAAACCATAGCAGGATCACAGAGTTCGTTCAGAGGACCCTGTGTGTTACAGAGCCTGCCCATGAAATTGTAATCTACAAACTATTGAACGTTTTCTTGTAGGCAAGAGAAGCTCTGCAAGAGCAATATGAAGAATGGCTGTGAATATATGAAGAATTGCTGTCACAGAATCAGACTCCTATTCAATTGGTGTGCATGCATTTATTAAGTGGTTGAAACTTGTCTGGAAACAGGGCCTAGAAATGCTTTGTATTGTATTAGCAACCACACGAGGAGAACGGCAGGGTGTGCAATGTAAAAAGCTGGCAAGGGGTGAGGAGGGCTTTTACTCTTAGCTTGACTGAACTTGATAATTAAGTTCCAGGATCTTGCAAACTCTGACTAAAACATGTAAACCTTTCAGCTTTTCGTATTCCTGGTCTCTCTTTGTGCATAAGCAGATGAAAATGGGAACCACTACATAAGGAAAGAAGAAAGCATGATTTAATTATTTTTTTAATTATGTGAAGCTAAAGAAACTTCTGCATTTTTTTTCAGTTAATGGTTCAGCTGGGGTGTTGTGACAGCAGTTGCAAAACCTTACTGTTTTTGCATTTTTAGGAGTCAAATGCATGACCCTGTTAAATTGGTTTGGGGAGATAACAGCATGAACTGATGGTTAAAATACTCTTATTGGCAAAGCCTTTCTCTTGGTGGGGGTTGAAGGGGGGTTGAAGAGAATTAAACAAATGTAACATGCTTGGTAACTACCATTTACTTTGTCATAACTAGACATTGGTAACAGTAGTTGAGAAAGTGTTACGTGCACATGTTCTAAGAAAGTCTAACTGCAGAGTGTGCTGCTGGTAACCCCAGCATGATCTCTGCAGAGCGGACAGTGATGAGACTGTAGCAGAGGCCTTGGAAGTACCAGCACAGGATGACAGCAGAGGCCCCTGGGCAGTTAACACAAATGGCTGCGTATCAATTTGGAAAGCTGCCTTTTGAGGAACCAGTATTAGGGCACTGCAAGAGGAGTGATACAAACACGGATATATGTGTGGCCCAACTGGGTGAATGAACTGTTAGTGATGTTATCAGAAAGTTATACCCTGAGGAACAGTTAGGGGGAAACAGGGTTTTCCCATTGGCAAAGGCTACCTGTCTTGATGAGTGGTAAGGAAGAACAGGAAAAATGGTGTAACCTTGTACAGGAGTCACAACTTGCTAGTGAAAAACAAGCAAACAAAAAAAACCCACCCTGTGGGAACCTCTGCACATTGCCCATACTGGTTAGCGCAAGTGTAATTGTCTTTCCATTGGGTGTGCAAGCCTGTAGCAATAATGGTTAGTTGCACAGGTGCTGCTCTACTTGAGAATCAGGTTTGGCACAATTGATCACTTAATTGCTACCTGTGTAAATATTGATCATCATTAGAGGCAATGCTGCTTCTGTTGCTTGTTGGTCTAGTATTTGGTCTAGAGCTTTTGGGGCTTCATTTGGATGCCACAAAGTTTACAATAAATTTATAACACCTGTTTTACATTCCAAGATTTGGCACTTGAATGCTGACATCAAAACAGGTAAAAAATGAGAAACCTCAGGAGAAATACTACTCACTGGTAGGAAAAGACTTGTTATTTCTTGAGGGTACACAGTTGAAGAAAGGCACTTCTACCACCTTTACTTTTTCCTTCAGGTAAAGTGGTGCCCACTTTGTGTATATCAGCAGCGCTCAGTCAGAGCTGTCACTACTTGCTACCTGGTTTACAGCTTGAGTAGTTGAGTGTTCTGGGAAGAGCTTGACCTGCTCTCTCCTAAAGGCTAAACATTTCTGTTTCTCTGATTTAACCAACTTGGTAATAGCTATAAAAAACCAGAATAGTGCAGCTGCTGCTGGATGATAAAGTAGTGTTGTGCCCTGGCTTATTTTGTCTGTTTTACCTGGAATCTGATGCATATTCATTTGCACTGCAAGTAAAACACTTCCTCAGTGCCTGTGGAACCTGTGTGTGGTTCGGTGATTTTAAAAAGACTAAATTTAAGCTGGTTATGTTATGCCATTTCTAAATGAAGGTGAACAAAGCTTTTATCAACAATACTAGTGAATCACAGTACAGGAATCAGGTATTCATTTATGAATCGTTTAGCTGTGTTTTCAGTTGTTAGTCAAAATCAAGAAGTGCTACTGATAGGAAGATTTTTAAAACTTGTCTTTTACACAATTTGCCACGTTAGTGGCAGTGAGAGAACAGCATGTCTGTGAAGCTGCTTTACAAGGCTGCTCCTGAATAGGACTGTTCATTGTAGTGCAGCAAAACAAAGCCTGAAAACTGCTTCCCCATCACTTCAATTCTTTACAAGGCTTCCTAACAGGACAGATCAATCTACATTTGTCCCTGCTGTTTAGCAGTTTTGGAAGGTCTCCTTGGGCTTAAAACTCTTTCAGAATCATAGAATAATTTTGGTTGGAAAAGACTCTTAGACTCTTAAGATTGAATCCAACCATGTCCTCTGTTTTGAAAATGTGCTGTTTTGTCTGTTTTAAATGACTGGGTAGAAGTTGAATAATTAAATCAAGTTTTGCCAAATTAGGTTACCAATGGCAAAACATTACCAGTTTAACTTCGGGAGTAAGATAATTTACATATATGTTATACTAATGAGTATACTACAGAGTACCTCATGTTGTTCCTAAGGTGCTACTGATTTGCTTCAACCTTCTTCTGAATGGATTTTCTGTGATAATGTGTGGATTGCTTTACTTCTCTATCTGTTCCAGTTTAGATGGAGCATGCCAGATTACTTTGGGCCACTGAGTCATGGGCTACATTTGAGCAAAAATTCTGGGGCAGTAGTGCATGGTGGTTCAGGTTTCCTGAAGAGTTAGGTCTGTGTTTTGCCAGTGTCCTTACTTATGCTTAAAATAATACAGTGCAAAGCATTAAAATAAAAGACAAAATAGTACAGTACAAAGAAAGTAAGTATTACTGTATGTGGGTAACCATAGTGATTAAATAAGATACATCACTAATTACCATCACCTGGATCTGCAGTCACTGGGGAGCCCTGGTTGTGGTGAGGATCTGGAGAGCCTGTCCTGGCAATTGGGAGGTCCTACGCAGTGGGTCCACTCATAGGTGAGGTCTCCAAAGTCGCTGCAAGAGGGTCCAGCCTTTTATACTGTTGAATAAACAAGTTTACATCACTTCAAATGCAGAAATATCCGGCTTTGTTCTCTGTTAGATTACCCCCCAAAACCTGGCCAGGGCTCAAGGAGGAACCAAGGGAGTTTCTTTACCTGTTTGGTTTTGACCACATCATTCCAACCAAGGCCGGACATCTGGTCCTACGGCCTTGACAACCTGTCTCTGAACATGGGAAAGAGGGGTAGTCTCACAACATTTCATCTTCACTAGGGATTATACTTTAAGCTATTTACTAATGGGCATGCATACTTTACTAATGATCAAGTACTAATATTATATGGTGTTCTGTTGGAGGGGTTCATCTAGAGGTCAACTTTGGTTCGAGGCCTGTTGCTCAGGCCTCAGTACTTCAGGCTTGGAATACTTCTGGCATAAACAACACAAGTTGGGGAGGGAAGGACCTCAGCTTCCCAGAAGAGAGGGACCCAGCTCCAGTTATCATCCTTTAATAGTCCTACCTATGTTGATCAATTCTAATGATTTCAATTGTAAGTACCAAAAATTGTTCAGAGTTGGAGCTTCTCCAAGTGATAAGGATTTACAAAATCGGTTATTGGATTGTGGTAAACTCTCTTGTGCAGAGGTGAATCTTGGTAAATGAGCTTGACTGTAGTAAGTCTTTAACGTGATGTTTATAATCATGTTGAGCAGCTACATGGATTAGTAATGTTTCATAGTATCAATTCAGCATGCAGTCAGTCACCTACGAAGGATCTGTCACAGGTAAGGGATCTCCCCACCTTGGGTAAGGAATCTCTGACCTTGAGAGGTGTCCCTGCTCAAGGGGAGAGTCAGCAGGTATGCAGTCCAACTGCAATTCAGGGAGAGCTCAAATTGGGTGCATCCTGGTGGTGATATTTATAGGGTGACGTAGTTGGCTGCTAGTCAGTAGCATAGACAAGATAGATGTATTCATTTTAGCTGTGGTATCTTGTTCTGTACTTTGGTTATCTCATGCTTTTGGGTTTTGAACTCACTTTTCAAAATATTTTTTCAAGACAGCTTTACTCCTTTGTATGTGAGCCAGGGGCTTTCTAGCTCACAAGTTCAATTCAAGGACATGAGGCCTCTTGCTCCTTAGCCTGAACCAAAGTATGACCAGGAGTCAAGTGTATCTGTTGCAACTCTCAGCTTCAGTGGGAATTCATTGTTTGTTTACTCTGTACCATCTCCATGCTTAAAGCGACTGTCACGCAACTCCTCAGGTTTTTTAAAACTTGAAGATTTTTACATTTCTTAATTTTTCTTTGTTCTTTGCAGAAAAGGTACAGCTTGGCTGTTGGTCCTCCCAAAAAGGTTCCAAAAGTCAAGGGTGTAGAGTCTGCAGCAGTGCAAGCATTTCTCAGACGGCAAGAAGAAGAAAAAAGAAAAAAAGGTAACAGTCTAAAATATTTCCTATGGGAGACTTTAATTGACTCTTTGAGATTTTGTCACTTATTCAAAGCTCTTGCAAATATGGCTGCACATCTGTTTCTGGAATTTATGCACATAACTGATGCCGAGGGAAGGCCAGGACTAAGTAAGGGCTAGGGATGTGTGCATGCTTTCCTAAGGAGTTAAATGTTAATCAGCTACACTAGCATTTACTGTTGGAGATCGAGAAGTAGTTCAGGTGAAGAGATATTGCAACAAACCATCTTGGCTTTTGGTAACTTAACTTTGAAAAGCTTTATCCATGTGAAAAAAGGGGGTTTTTTCTGGATCTGGATTTGAAATTTGTATGGCAGAGGCTTTGAGCTACAGTTTTTCCGCTGTATTATATTTCCTTTAAATAGTCTATAGAACAAACTAATACTGCATTGCTTCTGATGTTAATGTTTTGTTAAAGGTAACCAAAGCTGATGGACTGGATGGCCCAGGATATTCTTCCTCTCCTGGGCCAGTCATGAGCCTGCTCCTTAGCCCTGCTGCCAGGTCCAGCCAGAAGCAAGACTGAAGCAAGCCATGTAGTCATGCATGTACTCACGCTCTGTACAGTCACAGCCCTTGACAACAGAATACCATAGGCAGGGGATGTACCTTTACACAGGATGAGTAGCCCAATCCATTTTCTAGGAATTGATGCTTTTCCGAGTCTTTCTGGTATTTGGCCGCCACTCCCTTGGTCTCTCCTGTTTCTGGTGTTCAGATTTCTCATGCTATTCACCAGCTAGTTCAGCTGAGTTTTGTTAGCAGGTCACACAGACTCAAGATAGAGAGCATACTTAAGCAGAAAATAGCTAAAATCAGTTCAGTAAGAATATAGGACAGACTCTGGAGATAGGGCACAGGGCTCTACCAGACAAATGTGACTAGCAGCTTGTTTATCTGTGGCTGGCTGCTTCTGTCTCCCCTATGCCTCTTTACACACAGACTCAGCCTGTTTTCCAATTCTTATATGCCCAGTACTCTTTAGTTCCCTCCCTTTCCTCATCTTTCCTTAAACAACTAACTAATTCTGTACAGTTTCAAAATTCTCTTGCTCAGTCTCAGAACTCCTTCCATTACACAGAGATCCCATAAGTCCTGTACCTTCTCATACAGTAATTCCCCATAGTTTACACAGCATTCAGCAGAGCTGCTTCAGTTGAATCACCTTAGTGGGTATTGCAATAGTGGCATTTGACTTAATTGTTCACCTTTGTTGGTGTAGCTGATTCAGGTGGGCTAGCTTGCCCTGCTGGCAGACCTCTGATCACTTTCTGGTCTATTTTGAATAGCTGTTAGCGAGATATCCTTAGACTGCTGTCCTAATTGGTGTATCAGTGTGGAAGAAATTGAAATAAAAAGTAGTGCTTTTGCATAACTTTCTTCTGGTTTTGTTTTACAGCACTGGAAGAAAGAAGAAAGAAAGAACAACTCTTGGCTAAGCGTATTGAACTGAAACATGACAGAAAGGCAAGAGCTATGGCCTCACGAACAAAGGATAATTTTTATGGCTACAATGGCGTTCCTGTTGAAGAGAAGCCTAAAAAGAGGAGGGCTTGTGAGAATGTCACTCAGGCCCCAGAGGCTGAGTATGCAATGGAAGATGAAACTGAGCAACTTGAATACAGTCAGACTGAATCTGAGCATGAGCAAGAAGAATATGAAGAGAAACCATCCAAAGTTTCAGTGAAACCAAAGGCACCTCCCAAAAGCGCACCAGCACCTCTGAACTTTGCAGAACTCTTAAAGCTTGCTGAAAAAAAACAATATGAACCAGTGGAAATAAAAGCAGTCAAAAAGGTAGAAGAGAGACCAAGAACAGCAGAAGAATTGAGAGAGAGGGAATATTTGGAACGCAAAAGGAAAAGAGTAGAAATACATAAGAAAAGTGAGAATGAGATTAAGAATACAGGGATATCCAATTCTTCAAAAAAAGCGACTTCTCAGAAAGAATCTGTAAATGCAAAACTTAACAAAAGCTCAGATAAACATTCCACACGAAAAGGCAGTCTCTCATCTTCTGTGAGTGGTACTGATAAGAAATCCAAAGCACCAGCATTGACTGAAAAACACTCATGGTCATCACCTTCTTCCAGATTTGATCAAGTGGAAAAAAACTCACAAAATGTCTCCTTCAAAAGCTCTGCTGGTAGCAGTCATGGTAAATTACCTGTCAATGGTGTTGGAAAGTCTGGCTCAAGCTCTCATGTGCCATCCTCAAAACCAGCAGCCAATGGGTCTCAGAGGCTACCAACTGCTAAAGAATCCAGCCTGAAAAAGTCTGCCCATACAAAATCAGGAAATGCTGCAGGCCTTCAGCATGGAGTCAACTCCAATGCGAAACGATCAGGCAGCAGCTTAGGAAAAGGAGGACCTGGACATCCAGGTGGCGGTTCAAGTGCAGGACCTGGGCGGGCGAGCAGCAATTCTGGCGTGGGACCTGGAAGGCCAGGAAGTGGTTTAAGCCCAGGACCTGGGCGACTGGGTGGTGGCTCAGCTACAGGACCTGGAAGGCCAGGCAGCAGCTCAAGCACAGGACCTGGGCGACCAGGCAGCAGCTTGGGCACTGGACCAGGAAGGCCAGGCATCGGCACAAATGCAGGACCTGGGCGACCAGGTGGCAGCAGCACAGGTACAGGACCAGGAAGGCCGGGAGTCAGCCTAAGCACTGGCCCCGGGCAACCAGGCAGCAGCTTGGGAACAGGACCGGGAAGACCAGGGATCGGTCCAAGCACAGGAGTCAAGCGACCGGGCAGCAGCTTGGGAACAGGACCAGGAAGGCCAGGCATCAGTCCAAGCCCTGGAGCCAAGCGACCAGGCAGCAGCTTGGGAACTGGCCCAGGAAGGCCAGGCGTCAGCCCAAGCACAGGACCTGGGCGACCAGGCAGCGGCTTGGGTACCGCTGTAAAGCCGAAGTGTACTGTTGTATCAGAGACTATTTCTTCTAAAAACCTAGTCACAAGACCTAGCAATGGACAGATAAATGGAATGAGATCTTTTCAAGGGCATAGACCTGTGCATCCACAAGGTATGAAGTTCTAGAGCACGTAATATTTCACTTAGATATTTGTTTTGTATTTTTATGTATGTCTGAGTTGAGGTCACTGAGGGTCTTTGACAATTATAAATGTAATTAGGAAGACTGGGACAAAATACCATATTTGCCTTTTAAAGAGTGCATTTAACAGCAGAATGCTTTTTTTCTGCTTTGCAACTTTGTATTTGTTTTTACCCAAGCACATATTCCTTGAAATACAGGCCTGAGGTGTGAAGTATTGTATGAAAAAAAAAATAAGTAGCCTGTGATGGATGTTGGTAAAGAAATGCTGTTAGAAGGAAAATAATTGAAGATTTAAGTTCCTGCATCACTTCATGATGCTTAGTCTTTAAATTTTTGTAGTGTCTTAAATAACTTATCCTTAAAGTGGTACATGAAAATTAAAACCATGCAGCAATCCTCTGAGTGATTTTTGGCAAATTCACCTTATCAGTAAGCAGGCAGTTCTAAAAATTTATTTCTGGACAGGAACAAGCAGCATGGACTCTCGCACATAAGTGCCTAAAAAACCCTGAACAAGGACACAAACTTCTGTGTGGTAGTTTCCTCAGGATGCCATTGGTGATACTGAGATGTAATCTTCTATAGCACAGCTTAGAGGAAGTATTTCCTTTTACTGAATTTCTAAGAATTGCTAGCTAACTCAAGGCAGAAGTTTTCCACCTTAAAGCCCGGAGCTGTAAAATGGCTGTGGTCAAGGCGCAGCAAGAAGTACTGTTAAATTAATGTTATATTAATATTAATGTTATTAATGATTTTTTTTGCCCCCCTGTCATTTAGGTCTTAGAAGACCACCTATGGGTTACAAGAGACAAATAGAAGATGATGACGATGATGACGAGTATGACTCTGAAATGGATGACTTCATTGAAGATGAAGGGGAACCCCAAGAAGAAATATCAAAACATATTCGGGAAATATTTGGCTATGACCGGAAAAGGTAAAAAAAAGTCAGTGTAAAGATGTTGCAGAACAAGCAACAGAACAACAAGAATTAATATAGTTCAACAAATGTTTTAGAAACTGATATCAAAAAATGAATTTGCATTGCAGAAATTTAAGCAGCATTGGACCTGCTTCTGTGCAGAAGGGGCCTTGAATTTTGCATGAATTCTGCCATGCTCTTCTCAGGTGCAATAAAATTTGATGCAATAGGAGATAGTTAGCAAACAGCTTCTTCAGTGTGTCACCTGTATAATTCATAGCACCTCTTTGCTATTATTGGATGTTAAAATGCTTTCTATACAGTCTGCAGTGTTTCAGAATTCATCAGATGTAGCTGCCTGAACATGAACTGCTAAACGCAGCAGTGTTAGCTGTTCTGGAAGGGGATGTAACCTGGTATGATTAGGAACTGCTGGAAAGTGAAGGCTCCTACTTGACTTATTTAAATAGTTCCCTCTTGTCTGACAGTAAAGTATAAGAAAGCAAGCATTTTAAAGGCTTGTATCTTATAGATTCTTTCAAAACATTAAAATCTGTGTATGGCAAGGTAATTTATTCTTGCTGAGGAGGGATGTGAATTCATAACTCAACTGTGCATTGTCATGCTTTTGTGTGCTCAAAACTAATATTTAATTTCCAGATACAAAGATGAAAGTGATTATGCCTTACGTTATATGGAGAGCAGCTGGAGGGAGCAACAGAAAGAAGAAGCTAGGAGGTATGAATGGATTTCAACTCGGGTAGAAAGTGGGAGGTTTGTTTATTGCCCAAGTCATGGAGTGAAGTTAGAGTGGGTGTTTGCTGCTTTTTATAGCAGAGGTAAATAAGCAGTACCATTTTTTATAAGAAAGCTTAGGTAAAGATGAAACTCAGCCAGCCAGTGGTGAGCACAGTGAATAAATTTTGTATGCTCATTCTTATGCATCACAAACTTTGTTTGTAAAAAAAAAAAAGAAACAAACCACAAAAACAAAAAAAACCCCCAAACAAACAAAAAAAACCTAAAAACCAAAACCAGCTTATGCCCAAAAGTCTTTTTAAAAAAAGACGTTAAATTTGTTTAAATGCTAAACTGTTCAATTTGTCCCAAACATTGCAATATTCTGGTAGTTTGAGGACTAGAAGGAAATGTATTTGTTTTTATCTATGTACATGTGCTTGTGTCTGTATTCCCATGTATGTATAAGAAGTACTCTGACAAGCTCTTGTAATCAGGGATCTTCTGATTTGTAATCAGGGATCTTCTGATTTGTAATCAGAAGATTATATTTTCATGTTGGTTTTGGCCACTGGTTTTGGCCTCTAGACCTGCACAATTCTGTGTCACTGTTATAAAACCTGGTATTCATAAACTGATTTTCTTTTTGGTTTTTAGTGGCTGGCGGAACAAGCTTTGTGCAAGTTATAAGAGGTTTTTTATAGATAATGGAAAATAATGGAATACATTGAATTACCGTATTTTGGAAATTTTTATATGGTTATTCAGAAGGTGCCTTGAGCATTGCAGACTTGCATCTTTTTGAAGTTACAGTCAGTGTCCCTATTGCTCCTGGGGACTGGCTGCGGCTCATGCAAGGCTGTAGTCTGTTAAATGGAGTTAGAGGAAAGAACTGGAATTTTACAGTGATGCTACTATTGACTGAATTCTCTGAAGACCTAAGTGAGGATTTGCAGAGCTGAATACCTGGATAACTTTTAACTACACATGCTAGCATAAAGGAAGGGGAGATAGGAATCTTGAGTAAAATTTAGTTTCACTATTTTCAATGCTCAGCTACTTTTCTCTGAGAGTTTGGTGAAAAGCAATTTGACCGTTGAAATGAGGAACTTTTTCTAACCAAGCAAGTCCACTAAACTTATAGTTAAGTTTTAAGTTGAAATGAAAAGCAATGCTGCTTTTGTCACACAGATCCTTGATGTGTTTGTTTCTGTTCTTAATTTGGATGACTGAATTTCCTGAATTTATGATAACTTTGCTATGCTTGTTTAGGCATAAAATCCATTTTAGAGCCTGTACTGGACCAGTTCAGCCCAGAACAGTTGAATCCTTGTTGTCATGTGGCTGAACCTTTTGCATGGAGGTGGATGTTACCCTGCCTTATTGCTTCCTAATGAACTATGGATATACAAGGGCCCTTGGTAGCTGATCATGAGATGGTCACTTTGCCCCATCCATTCCTTGTATCAAACCAGTGAGACTATCCAGCCCTTATTTATTGAAGAGGAGATCGGTGGTTGCAGATACTGTTTTAATTATGCCTTTCACATACTGACTTCTGGGAAGCTGAAGAAATGATGCAGGGATGTAGCTGGAACATGCTGTGTTAGCAGAGTCTCTTCTGTGGGCCTGTCCCCCAGAGTCACGGCAGCTAGATGGACAGAGGGTGGAGTGACATTGTGCTTGTAGCTACCTGAGTGGTGCCTCAAGCCAGGAAGTTGCAACAAAATCTTTTGCTTCTCTCCTGTGTGAGAAGCTCTGGGTGGCTCTCTGAAGTTGATGAGTCAGTCCTGCTATTGCTTGTATTTAAGAGTTACATTGGCAAGAATTGATGCATGTGTTTCAGCAGCTTTTTTGGAAAAGAAAAAAACACAGGTTTTTTCGCAATGTTTATTTTTTTTAACAAAAGTTTTTTAAAATAATTTTTCCCTTAAAAAATTTATTCTACTCTAAAATCAAGACTTTATCATTAAAACTGTATTCTTGATAGATTTAAAGAAATATTTGAAGAAAATTTATGATTGTTGAACTGATCTGAAATTTTTGCTCGTATCTTCTGTAATAATTTTAGGGTTGCTTTTGTTGGGGGAGGGATAGAAGTAAAATTTAATGTTTCTTCAGTAGCAGTGTGTAAAGGATTTCATCTTGTTTGGCAGCTTGAGACTTGGTGTTCAGGAGGACTTAGAAGAATTGAGACGGGAAGAAGAAGAATTAAAACGCAAGAGACAGTCTAAGAAGCTGAGGACACGTTAACTGACTTATGATGTTGACTTTGTTCGTTTTCCTGCTACCCTCTGCCTCCATGCATCTCTTATTCTACTTCAGTTTCCATTTGCTTGTTAGAAGACAAAAGAATATTTAAAGGGATTAAAAGTATTGAAAAGCAAGGCTTTAGTTTGACCTAAATAAGATATTTATTTTTAATACTTGCCAGGGTTGGTTTTTTATGAAGAAATTAATGCACTAATGCATATTATTATTAAGTGGAAGAAAATTAATAGATTTTTCCATTGATTAAACCAGTTCAAGATGCCAGCAGAAATATTGACTAGCTATGCACTGACTCAAACTGTGTGGGCCCGTATACCAGTAAGCCAATTTTACATTCCCTTGAAAGAAAGGAATAGCATTCTTGTTCCCTGATATTTCTGGAGACTTGGAGAAATTGCTGTATATCCTACTGTCTCCCAACTTGAGCCTCGAAGTATTGAAATGTCATCTTCTGTACAGAAGGAGCTTGGGTGTAAATTCAGCCATTGCCACATATGTTCAAAGCAATAAAGTGCTGCATATTTTCTGATTTGAGGATCCATAAACAATTATTTGAACCTCTTTATTTCTAAACAGAAAAGTGCATGTCATTTGCGAATTGTCCAGTTACAGATATGGCCGAAAGATGATGTTGGCTTTTGCTGTGTCTGGAATTGCAATGCCAGTCTAATTCAGTATGATAAATACACACCCTGAAAACAGGAATTTCTAGTGTTCGTATGTCACTTGGGCTTTTGGGCTCAAGTGTATGCTTGGGAATTCTTTTCCTGCCCTGTAAATCTTCACATTTGTTTAACAGCTTCTGCTGCTTTTACAAATTGTGTACAGTGCACATGTTTTTTCTTGCATTAAACACCTGATGTGTTAAATACTTTAAAATCTGAAGCGGTTGTTTATCAAATTAGCTTTTCTATTTGGGAAGCACATCAGAATTAAGTGTTGTTAGAGTGTATTTATTTGCAGCTCTTCAATATTAACAACTTCCTGTTAGCTCATTAATACTTGTGATTAATTTTATTAAAACAAAAATGTGAAATGTGAGGTATTTCAGGAGAGTTAGTTCAGTTTTTTACCTTAATGCCCATATTTGCACATTATTTCTAACTATGCACTTAAAGACTGTTTCTTTCAGTGACTGAATTTGTTTACAATCAGCACAGGATTCATGTAAGTCTACGGGAGTTGTACTGAGAGTCTGAAGCTCAAATCTGGTGTTGTATCCACTTTAATTTCCCTAGTTTGCCCTTCAGAGCTCACCAGTATCACTGTTCAGCTTTGCCGCAAGCTCCAGGACTCAACTGATAGTACCTCTGGCTTCAGCTACTGAGCCTGTTATGTTTTAATGCTAGAAGTACTTCGAAAAGTACAAAAAGGCCTTTGAGTGTTTGTTGGAGGGGAAAAAAAAATTAAAGGAATAAAAAGGAAAAATTACCTTGTAGAAAAACAACAGAGGAATTTTTCCCATCGGGGGCTATTCTTAACAGTGCTGCTTCTAGGAAGCAGTTCAGATAGCAACCTGTGAGGAACAATCTTGGAAGCTGCTGAAGTTTAAACATCTGATTCTTAATGTAAGAAAAAACATATTTTCTTTAAGATCTTTTCTGTCAGTGGTGTAGCATTTCACTGCCTCAGTAAAACACTGATGTGAGTAACCTATTGGGAGGGAGTCTAAACTAATTCAAGTATTAGCTGACGGAGCCCAGATGACGATACCATCGTTGCTCCTCTGTATTTTTAACTTTCTATATTAACAAAAAAGAACAGTTTCTCAGTGTATGCACTTGAGACCATGCAAGATAGTCTAACCTCGCTGCTTGTCTAGAAGTGTGTTGCATTCACTCTGCTTCTTTGGGACCATCTAAAACTGTTATAGTTCCTAGAATTTTCTATTTAAGACAGGGAACACTGGGACCATGATCATGTTACTGGGTTTTTTACTTTTTAATTCTTCTTAGCTGGAGAAGGCTCTAGGTCTGTCAACCCAGACAGCTGTATCAACTGTGAGCAACTCCCTGCCTGGCTGGGGAAAAAAGCCACTTATGAAGGAAAAGAAATACATCAATTCAAAATTGGCTGAGTTGGGAATTAAATCTGCATTTCAGATAAATATCGGTTAAATAAAACCTGGTTATTTCACCACTTTCTGATTATTTAACCATGCAAGATCAGTTCAATTTCTTAATCTGCAAAGCACTTTGTCATTTGTCTTTTAGATGGTGACTGGAATGTACTCTGCTAGCCTCCCTAAGACACTGTAACTGTTTCTTCACAAAGTGATCATTGCTTAAATTTTGTCTATTTCACATGAAAAATTATTCAAGGACACATTTGTAATTTTACAGTCAAGAAGTACTTTCTCACAATTGGCATGGAATGCTAATGATTTTCAAATTTTGTACAAATGTTTGGGTTTTAATGTGTTTGCATTTGCTGTATATTTGTAAATTGGCCAGGAAGGGATGAAATTCTTGGGTTTTAATTCCTGACCTTGTATCCAAACACATGTTTACTGTTGCCAGATTAATAGTATTAGTCTAATGAGTACTTCAGTACTTGTCCAAAGAGCATCTGAATTTGAGGTTAAGAAAAACTGGAAGAATGCTTATATTGGTTTATGAGGATCTGATGTTAAGCTAATTATTTAATTGTATTTAATGAAATTCAAGTTTGGTTTTTAGATTTTTAATTCACTGTTCAACAATGTGCCTTTTTTTTTTTACTAAATTGTGTCCAAAAAATAATGAATGTAGGGGTATAAAAAGGTTGGTTGGTATCTGCTATCTCAGATTCTATATCCTTAAACTTGATGGCGTGAAGTGACGTACTTTTCATAAAACCCTTCCAGGTCTGGCTTTGATTGCACAATTACAGTAGCTACTTCTTTACTGCTAATACTAAATCAAATGAAGGGCACTTTCTATTGACGACTCCTTTTTGAAAATGTCTTGTATTTACACTTGAGCTGTATTTCACTTTACAGCGATGTCTTTTGGAGGCCAGGGTTTTGCATATCACAGGAAGCCTTAGTGTGCAACTCTGTGCTGTGCTTTAAAATAAAAATCTTTCAAGAAGTATATGAGATCTCTATGGAAATCTGGGTTTATTTTTGTGTAAAGCCCAAAATATTGTCCAGGAAAACTAATTTTCTATTTTTTTTGCATTTTGTAACATAATGTAGTAGCTGATGCATATTTCTAGATATAGCATATTTCTGGAGACCAAAACATGTCAGAAAGAAAATAAATATATGGAGAGACTGGTGTTTAAATTGTGATGAATGTACTTCTATTTATTTTGGTGAGTGGGTGTGATGCACTATTGAAGTGTTAGTTTGTAAATAAGGGTACTTCTAGTTTTAGCCAATGATTTTTTTTTTTTTTCCTTTGGAGATATCATTTGTGCACAATGGCTTTTTACATAATGTGACAAATCAGGTTAAAAACTCATACATAGCTTAACTTTTCTGGTGCTGGCAAGAAAGTGTATACTTTTTGCACACACCAAATGCATATAAGTTTTGCAGAATATGTATACAATAAATTACAGGCATTAAACATTTTACTGCTATTTCTCATTGGTTTACTTTATGGAAGATTTTTTTCAGAATTCTTTTCTGCTGGTTTCCTCCAAGCTGTCACATAAAACAGCACTAGGCTGAGTGTTCTCAAAGAATTGTTCTCTTCTCATGCAGCCAGCAAAAAGGTATGAAAAAATTCATGGAGTCATTTAAGCATTCAGAGAAGATCTGAAAATCAGTGGCATCTCCTGCAGTTTAGGCTTGTGACATAATATATTTTTGGAGATACATGTATTTTAGAATTATAATATACACAAGTGTGCCAGTTGCCTTTAATCTCTGGTGTTTCATGAGCAGCATCTTTCTCAGATTCTCTTATTCCCGTGTAAAGAATCTGAACCTCCTCGATTGCTGTCTCCAGTGGAACAGTTTACTGCTTTGACAGGTGGAGGTGAATACCAGTGACTGTTCTGATCAACTAGTGCTGTGACCCACTTCCAAACAGATGAGTGAATACTGAGTGAGCCCATCTGCCTTCCTTTAGAACAGCAATGCTTGTGTACTCTTGTGCTTAAAATATTTTTTAAATCATATTGCAAATTAGCATTTAATCAGTGTCCTACAAGTACCTTGTTTCGAAGGCATGAAATCTTACCTTGTTTGGAATAACTTTGTATGGAATACCCTTGAGATTTTTTAATGTATTGTAATAGCTGTAAGCAGTCACCAGTCATTATTTCAAAGCAAATATATTCTCTTCAGGTGGAGGGTGGTTCTACACTGAGTTATTATTTTAATCCAGTCAGTAAAGATGTACTTCTCTGGAAGTACTAAAATTATTTTACTCATGTTTGGAAAAAAAATAATGATGTATCCCTTGTTGAGGGCAGGTTGTAGCTGTAATTTATTTGAAAGAATATTTTAGTTCCACAAGACAGAACTGCAGTTTAGTCATCCCATAGAGAGCCTTTTCATACTATTTTATATTTGCATGAGCCTAGGGATACAAAAAGCCTTTGACATATCATGTTTGGCATACTTTCTGGGATGAAATTTAAAGACAGAGGTTCCTGAAGTAACGAAACATGTCACCAGTTTAGTCCTAACTTCTCTGTCCACAACTGATGAGTGGCTTTGTTTTCCCAAGCCATCTGGTGCTTAATTTGCCTTGGGGATTTTGTCTGTTCAGTTCTTCATGAGAGTCTTGGTTTTTACTTGTATCCTTTTGCCTGCACTAATAAATTCTTAATTTTTTTGTATGCTGGATGCAACTTCTCCCAGTTTCTCAACATTCCTCAGCTGAGGAAAGGCAAGTATCTGATGCCATCTCCTATTGTACTATGTGTGTGAAAGTTAATAGCAATTGACAGTTTAAAGAGAATCAAGAGCTTTGGTGGGTTTTTTCTTGTTAAAGGAATGGGCTTGATCTGACTTGAAAAGCACTTGAGTGTAGTGTTCCAGGTTTTATAGTGCACTCAGAATAACTATGAGAGCATACTTGCACACACACAGAGTGTAAAAGGATGTTTTGAAGTGCCTTACATGTACTTCTCAATGTATTTAACCTCTTTTGTGGACTTCTTCATGAGAGATAACTAAAT